GTTAACATTTAAGGTACACTGAAAACATGGCCTCACCAATATTGGGGTGCTTCAGAAGTCGGCAAATTCTAGCTTCCCTTTCTAGTTTCTGGTGATCTGTTGAAAGAAAATAAGACAGAAAACGAAGTCACAACGCGGAGTGAAAAAGAACAAAAGGTCATAAACAGTACGCCAACCCAACAGGACAGCAATGAAGCTTCCCATTCCCTCACCCTTCTATTTCTCTTTCAAAAGGTTAGCGTTTGAATTTGGAATTCAGTGAATACCACGCAGCCAAACAACCTTTTATTTAATTTTGTGTCTGTACAAATAGATACACATGTAATCGAGTGCATAATTACATAAGAAAGTCAAGGAAACAAAAACCTGTGTGGTCAATAAGTACAAACGGAGCTTCAGCTATAGCAGTGAACATAATTCGAGACTTTTTTACACTGTCTGAATTAGTTTTCCATGGCTGTATACCGAGCCCAACAAAGCAGCAGCTTGAAAGAACACATGCATAATAGTGTGTGTGAACACATCTTAACAGTCTCTGGGTCAGGAACCCAGGCACCTAACTGTGCCACTAGTTTGGGGTTCTCTCACAAGGTCACAATCAGATGGCTAGTTTCATCTCAAGCCTGGACTGGTAAGGATTGTCTTCTAAGTTCAAATGTTGGTTGGCAGAATTTCAGTTCCTCGTGGACTGCTGGACTAAGGGTTTCTAGCAGGCTGCTGGCTGGAGGTTGCCCTCAGGTATTTGTTTCTTCCCAGCTTTAAAATCTCAAGGCCACCGAGGAAAAGAGAATGCTGTCTTATCTAGCCTGGTTACAGAAGAGATATCCCATCATGTTTGCCACACGCCGTTTGTTGGAGGACAGTAACTACAGTGACCTGCTTCAAAGAGGAGGGGCATGAATACCAGGGGGCAAGGATGCTTAGGGACCATCATCTGCCACAATAGACTGATGCTTTCATTCGCCTGCCTTCTCATAAGCTGTGTGACTTACTCTGTCCTTCTCTGCAATCACTCACCGCAGTCATCACCTATGAATCATTAGGCAGTTTGTAATATGCTACCAGGGGATGTTTTTACACTCCAGGCATGATGATATCATAAAGTTCTCCTTACAACCAGACTTCAGCATTTATAGAAATGCAGTATCACCTGGTGTGCTTCACCTGCAACATCAAATGCACAACTGCACTTGGGGAATAAGTAGTTGAGAAGTGATGAAGTACTGATTACTGGCACATTTCCATGCCTATCCTGGTAAAAAGATTAATTGGTTTTACATTTAAACTCCCTTCGCTTTTAGTTCAATTGACAATCAAACTTATATGTACTACTTCATCATTCCCAGCAATCACAACTCACTGCAATGCTAAAAAGGCAAACACAGATTAGAAAAGAGGAGACATTGTTTAGCACCATTTGAAGATTTTCATTTGTTACCCACAGTCCCTGAGGCTACTGTAAAATCAGCTGCATTTATCATTTATTAGAGTGCTCAAACTATAATGATATGGCTTTTGATGCTCAAGTCCAAACTATTACGTAAATGACAATACTGCTAATACGTCAGGCAATCATGTAGTTGGGTCTGATAAAGTATCAGTGTGCTGGTAGCAATATATGGTTGAAATGTGCCACATGAACAATGCACCAAAGGAAAATAGATTCACATTTGATGTTGCCAAAGACTCGGTGGGATATAGTATTATCTAGTCCAGAGACTTCGAGATTTTAAAACGGTGTCACAAGATTATGGGAAAAATGTATTTATTTCTTCCCAGATTAAAACCTTGTCTTCCTTTTTAAAAAGCAAGGCATTTTATTTCAAACAAGGCTCAAAAATGTGAAATCAGAACTAATGAAATATAACCTCAA